GTGTTTCCTTCATGCTGTGTGAGCTACTGGAATGAGCGGCACTGTGAAATAGCCAATCAGAGCAGAGCTCAACATTGAGCCGCACTGTGAAAAAGCCAATCAGAGCAGAGCTCAACATTATTATTCATGACCCTTCCAAATAAGGTAAAAACAGGCCATTTCATTCTAGGGGCAAATCTTAGGGTTGTAAATGGACATGTAAAACCGTTTCTGGAGATTTTTTGGCCTTACCTAAGCCACATATACCTTCTATGTAGATATCAGAGAACAATTTAAAATATTGTATCAGTGCATTCTGTGGCACCTTTAAATGTTCTTCGGTAATGCTGTGGTGCAGAATCCTAATCTAGTTATGTAATAAAGCTGGCAATGTTGTTGGCTCTTTGGAAATTGCTTTTGTTCCTGTTGAATCTTTGGATCAAAAGTATCTCCTAAATGCATAAATGTCAATGTAAATGCAGATATTCAGCAGCAAGACTCAAAATACACGAATGTATATGTTGGTGTGCATTTTCGCAATCAGATTTGTACAGCCTTTGCACAGTCACGCGCATATTTTCTCATTTGCGTACTATTACTGAGGCTCTCAATCAGACCGTCCTTCAGTATAACTCCAATATTAAATGTCACAATACTGTAATTCTCTCTCCAGCACTCTTTGTCTGTTGGTTTGTCTCTCAGCATTCCTCTCTGTTCTTTGTGATTGATGGACTTGTTGATTGCCTCAGTGGCATCATAATGATGATGGGTATAATTCTATTAAGGGTAATGATCGGTCTCTCTGCTGTGCTGCTTCCTCCATAAAGAGTTACAACTCTTTCTTTCTTTCTTTCTTTCTTTCTCCTACACAGTGCTACAACCATGTCCAGGCCAGCGGGAGGCAGTGTTAATGATATCACCCGCTTCCTGTCCACGGGGGCGGGGCCTGGGTCACCAACCTCAGGGTTCTCCGCCTCCAGCCAAGCTGATTGGGCGGCTAAGAGACTCATATGGGTGCCTTCAGAGAAAAATGGGTTTGAGGTAAGATTTATACAAAGTGTGGTTGAGCAGTATGTATTTTTTTTAAATCTGTTGACGATATTTCAAGAGAGTATTATGGACAATATACGGACTAAAATAACATACCAGTACAGCTGAACACACCGGTGCACCGGGACAACTCACTGCGTGATGTAGCCTAAAGAATGCAGTTATATGCTCTAGAATTCATGTTTATTTGAGATAATATTTACTAAATTAAATCCTGAAGAAAAACACAATACTTTAAATAGAAACTTCTTGATTCTGTAATCCTATTATAGTGTAATCCTATTATATAAAAAAATTGTTACTAAAAAGGAAGTAGACATTGTAACCAACAGTGCACTCAGTAATCTGATTATGTCTGGGTGCACTGGGAATCATATTTTGGCAAATAAAGACCAGATAACACATACAGAACACAGTGAATATGACATGGATAATAATAAGAAATATAATAATAAATTATTTGGCAGAAAGTAGCCAGTATGAAAACAAAGGAAACAGGAAGTCTTTTCCAAACTGTGACAACAGTGACTTCAATTAGAATTCAAAGAAGATTTAAAAAAAAATCACTACAAAAGTACCATAAACGTGGTCCATGTGACTCATAAGCTACGTTCCATAGACTATGTCACAGGAATGATTTTTGTGTCTGAAATTTTTTAAGGTTGTTAATGACTAAAAATCTTCCCCTCCTCCACTTTTAAATCTCATACAGAACACAGTGATAATGACATGGATAATAATAAGAAATATAATAATAAATTATTTGGCAGAAAGTAGCCAGTATGAAAACAAAGGAAACAGGAAGTCTTTTCCAAACTGTGACAACAGTGACTTCAATTAGAATTCAAAGAAGATTTTAAAAAATCACTACAAAAGTACCATAAACGTGGTCCATGTGACTCATAAGCTTTTAGTTTTATGTTTTATACTAAATATTTTATTTATAAATTATTTTATAAATTATTTTTTATTGCATTACAGTACGGAGATATAAATGTGCTTACTTGTCATGAAAATAATGTCATTCTATATAATTTTATATATATATATATATATATATATATATATATATGCGCGTTTACTCGCATCCAAAATAAATGTTTTGTTTACATAATATGTGTGTGTACTGTGTAAATTTATTATGTATGCACATGTAAATATTTTCAAAATATATGCCGTATGTATGTGTCTTTATATATGCATAAATGTAAATTTTTAAAAATAATATCATGTTGCACTTCATTTATTTTATGCAATACTGAATTTTTATTTATTTATTTATTGCATTATAGTACTGAGTCATAAATGTGCTTACTTGTCATTAAAAAATGTTGCTTGTTATTTGTTTGGAGTGAAATATGATGTAGACATTTTTTGTAAGCCAACAGCGGACATTTGACAGTGATCATGACTTTAATAAAGGACAGTGACACAGTGACACATCTGCTGCAAATGTCGATAACACGTTCCATGAAAGACATTTTACAAAGAGCACATTCACGTAGTCTCTCATCATCCTTTATTTTTCTGCCTGTGTTTCCTTTGGTCAGTCTGCAAGCGTGCGCGAGGAGCGAGGCGACGAGGTGGAGGTGGAGCTTACAGACAGTGGGAAGAAGTTGACGCTTTCGAGGGAGGAGCTCCAGCGGATGAACCCGCCTCGATTCAGTAAAGTTGAAGACATGGCCGATCTCACGTGCCTCAATGAGGCCTCTGTCTTACACAACCTACGAGAGAGATCCTATTCAGGACTCATATATGTGAGTGTTTCCCTTTAGTCAGAATTGTTCCAATTACTAATGATTTAGTAATCATTCAATCCTGCCACATGCTTGCCACTGTGCTCTGCCATCACATGAGTGTGTGTGGGTATGTGTGTATGGGTTTCTCTGAGTAAGCGGAAAGGATAGTGTTACACACACAGATACACACGCGTGTGTTTGTTCATCACAGGCTCACAGTTCAAATTTCGGCTCAGGTTTCATGTTGAATGCAGCCAAGAACGTACAAACACACATGCACAGATGCACTCATGCGCACACAAGATCAAGGGCCCTTATTCATAACGCATCTGTCAAAAGTCACTTGAGCCCAGTGTTTACTTCACCCAACTTGGTACAGTAATCAAATTTAAATGAGCGCATAAGATCATGTTGATTTGGAAATTTCACATTTCAGTGTTTGTGGATGTACAGTATATATATATATAATATTCAGAACAGGCATCACATTTCTGATCATCGTGTACAGTGACAAACATGCCTCTTTTGACTATCAGCATGACGTCTGGTCCACTTCACAGCCCATTCTGACCCAAAAATTGTTGCTGGGTTTACATCCAGCTATTTTTATTAGGTTTTGAAATTTGCGCTTAAAAATGGAATGGAAATAATCAATGTGTATAAACTCAAAAAATGTACATAAAAGTTTCCATGCTTGGATGAGCAAGTGCAGTTTGACATGCTGTTTTTAGTATATACTGTACACTTAATATATACAATTTTTTAAATATTTGATTCAGTTTTTTATATAATGTCAAATGTTATCTCTAAAGTTATATGGTGTTTTAGTAAAATTGACTAAAACAGTATGGTAAATGTATTATTATTATTATTATTATTATTAGTATAAGTAACATAACTGCAAAAATAAGTTCTGCTTATGAATATCTAATTTACTTGCAACTAAGTGCCTCAAAAAAACTAGGGCTGAACAATTAATCAAAATAAAATCGAAACCATGATATGGCCTTGTTTGATTATCAAAATTAATTTATTTAAATAAATATGTTTGCCAGGAACCCTTTGATTTTCCATCAGAATAAAAGATCAATCAAAGCTTAAAATAAGAAAATTAAGACACAGATATTGTTATTGTAATTTTACAGTTGTACTGTAAAACAAAATTATTATTATATATATATATATATATATATATAATTTTTATTTATTTATTTTTTTTACACTGAGATCATTTTTTTTAAGTCTGAAGTCTTATAATATTTCATATTTTGTTTAATATTTAATTTAGTAGTAATAATAATAATCGTCACATAAATTTATAATCACACATTTTTGCGTAAATTGTGCAGCCATTTTGTTTAGTATTTAATTTAATAATAACAGCAATAATAATAATCATAATAATAATAACAATCGTAACATTGATTTATAATCACGCATTTTTGCGTAAATTGTGCAACCATTTTGTTTAATATTTAATTTAATCATAATAATAATAATAACAGTAGTCACATTGATTTATAATCACACATTTTTGCATAAATTGGGCAACCCTACAAACACGCACATCAAACCTAAAGCTCATAAGCTCATAATTCTTCCTTAAAATCGCTTATTGTACCAGCCTACTCAAAATATGCTTTGGACTGATAAAAACCTGAGCACTCTGACTTCAGGAAGCTGGCTGAAGGCAGCCAATCAGATCTGAGCTTCTGATTTTTGCAAGTACTGTAAGTGCTAGTTTTGTGTGCAGTGTCCATCAGGCAGTCAGTCAACAGACTGTGGGCAGTCTGTGGGTGGTCTGTCTGGGCAGCTCTGCCAAAAATAGTTTCTACATATACAACATCATTATTTCCATCTGTCTGAGTTCTTGTGTTTGTGTGTGACGCCCGACAGACATACTCCGGCCTGTTTTGTGTGGTGATCAATCCCTATAAGAACCTGCCCATCTATACAGAATCCATCATAGAGATGTATCGTGGGAAGAAACGGCACGAGATGCCTCCACATATCTATGCCATATCGGAGGCGGCCTACAGGAGCATGCTGCAAGGTACCATGGCAACCAGTTAACCTGCTTCAGTTTATGTGAATTTATTCATACACCACTGTATCACAGTATTTAGACAGAAGAACCAGTTTCATGTTGCTGCATGAAGATTGAATTCTTTCACATACTTAGTAGTAACAGTGTGAAACCCCAGGCATGACTGAGACTTGCCGTTTTCACCCTGTATCCTGCTTTTCAGGGTGTGTCTGTGGTTAATAAACTGGCCTGACCGGTGTGTGTGTGTGTGTGTGTGTGTGTGTGTGTGTTTTCAAGAAAAAAGGTCTTAACTCATTTCTAATAAATGACCATGTTAATTTAGTTTTTTAACTGTCAGAAAGATTTACCGTTCTGATTTCTTTTTAAATCTTTTCTAAACACTTTGAGAAAACACTTGCAGTTTACCACAATTTCTAGTACTTAATTTCAGTTTTTTAAAATCTAATATATACATACAGTATGATACATATAGATGCTCTCAGTATTATTATATTTGTGTAACTGTGTCATTTAGAGTTACATTCCGTGTACTACCTTAGAATCCTTATAATTAAGTTATTATTTCTGAGCTTGTTCATTACATAAGTTCATATGTTTCTTCTCAAATATAGCACATTTGTCATATTCACAGTTACAAAATGCACATAATTCAAAGTCACTGTAATTGTTGATTTGTTATGCTAATGTCCCTCTTCATGTGTGTTGTTTTCCTCACACAGACAGAGAAGATCAGTCCATCCTGTGCACGTGAGTTTCCACTGGCTGTGACGGCTGCATATTTGACTTTGACTACATATTTCAGTCGAAAGTTCAGAAAATATAAACATTTAATGTGGAGAAGTTAGACAGTTTTACAGCATAAGGAGAGATGTAGCTATTTGACCCATCAGAAGCCTATTGGCTGCAAAAAGACAAAGTTACCAGAAGATTTTGCCCTGTTTGTTCTCTCAAACCTGGAATAATGCATATTTAGACAGACAATCGAAACATGTTTTTTCCATCATTATTTTCTTTCCCTTTAATGATGTGTGTTGCTAATTTTATTTCAGCATATGTGTTTTGTATCTTGTTAAAACCTAAGCCATCTGCTAGTATTTGTTTGAATAACTCTGAAAATAGTCTAAACCTATTTTACAGCAGAAGGTGGTTTATTTGTACTGTTTATATACGTACGTGTGTGTGTGTGTGTTCAGAGGGGAATCTGGTGCAGGAAAGACGGAGAACACAAAAAAAGTGATTCAGTATCTGGCACATGTGGCGTCCTCACACAAGTCTGGCACTCTGGGTCGTCCCAAAGACAGCGCCCTACAGGTAAGGATGGGGCGTTATAAGGGAGAGAAAAAGCAGCTATTTCTACTTTCTGCTTTTCTAACAAGTCAGCACATGCTTACCTTGCGATTTTATTGTTTATTCATTTTTTCCCCTGCTGCCTACTTCTCCAATAACTCTGTTCAACAATAAGAATAAATGATACATAATGCAATAATACAATAATAATTACAAAAATATTACAACATTTTCTGCATATCCAGTGTTTGTACTGGCCTTGCCAATATGTTCACCAATAAAAATTCCGTTGGTTATGTTTTTATCAGCATTCAAAAAAAATTAAATGCTAAGTTTTATGCTGATGATAATTTGTTCTGCTGTTGCTGATAACCAAAAAATGGCAAATAATAAAATTAAAATTATACTATTTTATGAAAATCTAAATGTATTAAAAACAAAAAAAATTGGTAAAATAAAAATAACATCAGTTGTTTTAAATATTGTTTATAATGTCAGCTGGAACTCTTCATCTAAAGCTTTCACACTTGCCAAAGCTTATCCTTGAATTATAAAGCTGTAAATGCTATTGTATCTGTGGGCTATATGCAGCTTTTCTCTAATATTTGAATTTTCGCTCTTCTTGGTTGCTTTTCTCTCCCTGTCTCCTCTCTTTCCTGGGTCCTGCTGTTTCTTTCTGCTCTTCTTTTCTCTTTCTCTTTGTCCTCTGCTCTGCGCTGAAGATGGATGGTACGCGCTCTCTGGGTCGTGGCAGTAGCGCTGTGAACAGGGTGAGTGGGGGCTTTTCTCTTCATGACTGACACGTCCGGCTAATAGGAAGGAGTTCAGACTACAGCCGTTCTAATTCATGTCCTGCCACTTTAACCTCATAATGTGTTATATGTGTGGATTTATTTGTTTTCGTTTTTAACCATGTTTTTCATGTTTTTACTCATCAATATGTTATATTTTTGTCCCCTGTTTGTCCTGTACACTTGTTCAACCACACCATCTCTCTCTTTTTTGTGGACTCTAACAGACTGTGCAGTATGTGAGTATAGGTGCTCTAATGCTTATGGGCCTGCAGGGGGCGCTGTATGCAAATTAAAGCTTTGCTATGGAATTTTTTTGACCTATATAGACCATACTGTTCTATATGGGTAAGAGTGAAACCTCAGAGCCAAAACAGAGATTATCTAGCCTGTACATCATTTTTGTTGTTGTTTTGGTTTCATCTAAAGGCTGTGGCTGAGCTGCAATTTTATGAGTTTGCACTTTCAACTGTGTGTGTGTGTGTTTGTGACCTAGATTTAATTTAGGACAACTTTAATGGAAAATGTTTCCTGATGTTATCTATCTCTAATTTTTATTTTTATTTATTTCCTTTTTATTGTGCACAATTTTCTTTTAGGGTTTGGTTTAGGGCAGTGGTTCTCAATTTAGTTTGACCTAATTTACCTAATTTATATTTATTAATCTAAAAAGTACATGTATTTATTTATTTATTTTATTTTAATTTATGAAACATGTTTTATGCAATTTTTGCCTTCTGACTTTATATCACTTTTTGTAAAAAAATAAAAAAATAATAATAATTCAAATTACACGGTTGAATTCAAAAATGCCTAGATTGATCTTTTATTTTCTTTATACCTAAATAATAAATAATAGCTTACTTTTTTTTTTATATATATATATATATAATTTGTATATAAATATGTAAATATTTTATTATTTAAAAAAAAATGTATTATATTTTTTGGTGCATTATCATACAGTGATGTTTATTTTTTGGAAATGGACACAAATAAGATTTGAGAACATGTCGCCTTACAATACATCTGCACTCCTTTTTTTGTGCGGGAACACCCTTCATCTTGATAATCCCTGATTTAGTTCATGTTTGGAGTCTATAGTAATTATAATTTGCTCTATTTAAAAATAATATAATTCTGTGCTAAGTCTCCATTTAGTGAAGTAAACATGTACTGTATGTGTGTTTGTATGAGAGTTGTTTGGCTGCAGTTATATGCTGGTGCTGGTGCTAATGCTGCGGGGGTCTCTGCATTCAGAGGTTTCCTGTGGGCTTTTTGCTGTGATTTTGGTAATATTCCTGCACTTACATGCTGTTCTTCCTGTCCTGTGTCTAGGGGGAACTGGAGAGACAGTTACTGCAAGCAAACCCCATTCTTGAGGCCTTCGGCAATGCCAAAACCGTCAAAAATGACAACTCTTCCAGATTTGTAAGCCCTGCAACGGCACATCCAACCACCATCACTTGAACTTAGATATTAATCTTGATGTTTTGATCTGTTCTAACATGTTTTTATATTTGTTTTAGGGCAAATTCATCAGAATCAATTTTGATGTTGCTGGATATATTGTTGGTGCTAATATTGAGACCTGTATCCTTTATACATCCACTAAAAAATCACCTTAAAGCCAGCTGACAATTGAAACAAAATTCCTCAAAAAATAATGTAAAGTTATAGAATCTTTGTTTGCAGATACTGCTTTATATTTTGTTACGTTATGCAATGACATTGAGAAATTTGGGCCGCTTTACCTCATTCAATAATTGACAGCCTATAATTATAGAGTATATAAGTACCAGTTTCTATTGGTACATTTTTCTTTAACCCGCACGTGTATCAGATTTGCTGGAGAAGTCCCGAGCCATTCGTCAGGCTAAAGACGAGCGAACCTTCCATATCTTCTACCAGCTCCTCTCTGGAGCTTCTGAGGCCATGAGAAGTCAGTAGATCGCAAACACACACATAGCACAGCTTCACAATATACATTTTTTTATTCTCTTTAATGGAAACATTATCATTGTCATTATTTCTTCACTCTCTCTGTAGAGGAGCTTCTGCTGGGCAGTGCAGATCAGTACCGCTTCCTCTGCGGGGGGTCACTTCCTGTTTCGGGTCAGAGTGATTCAGAAAACTTTACTCAGACAATGGACTCAGTGACTATCATGGGCTTCACCCAGGAAGAATCCACATGTAAGAGAGGAGGTTCTCAAATAGATGGAGAAGAAAACATCTACAAGATTTCATATAACATGTACTTGACCACTGAACAAAAAGAAGTGATTTTCCATCCTTCTGTCCATCCTGCTCTCTCTCGGTCTTTTTTCAGCTATGTTAAAGGTGATCTCTGCAGTGCTGCAGTTTGGGAACATCACGTTTCACAAAGAGAAGAACACAGATCAGGCCTCAATGCCGGATGACACAGCAGCGCAGAAACTCTGCCACCTGCTGGGCATCAGTGTTCTGGAGTTCAGCCGAGCCATTCTCACACCCCGCATTAAAGTGGGCCGCGAGTACGTCCAGAAGGCCCAGACCAAGCAGCAGGTGTGTACAGAAGATGTAAAAGTGTCAAGAAAAATGTGTATAACAGCTTTTGTCTGAAGCAGCTGTGAACAGCATCACACATCAATACATTTTGATAGTTGCAGCTCCACATACAGCGAAATCTAATTGGTCCAAAAGTTTGGTGTCCATAAGATTTTTTCCTTTTATATATTAATAAGGGCTGTCAGTTTAACGCGTTCATTTAATTAATTAGTTAATTATTTAAAAAAATGACGCGATAAAAATATTTTAACGCAGTGGCCCCGCCCCCAGACCTGTACGTCATCTTACATTTCATACAGTGGACTGTTGACAAATATGATGCAGGGCAACAACTTAATAATAAATAAATGCCCTAAAAATATTGGGGCAAAAAAATGCCCCTGTATGAGTTTTTGTGTCATATTTAGATCATATGATAAGTGAGGTCACTCCAGCAGCGACAGCAAGAATCACAAGAATGCTGTTTTTGTCACAAAGAACACGAGTGCAAATGTGATTTTATACAACAGTTCAGTAAATAAGAAGTTAATATTGTGCAAATTTTAAACACAATATTGTGCGTTTTGTTCAATTTTGCCAACGATAATATTACCTATAAAGCCACAGCAGAACTGTTGTGCATCTCTGAGCAACACAGCGGTGTTTGGTTTCTAAATGAATCCACGTTTTGAACGAATCATGTGAACCAATGATTCAGTAGCCCATTCATGGAGAGAGCCGTTTACTGAACTCCTGAATGAATCAGCCGTTTGAACGAATCGACTCATAAAGACATTTACCGCCATCTGCTGGTAGTTTTAGTCTAATTTCTTAATGAATCAGCCGTTTGAACGAATCGACTCATGAAGACATTTACCGCCATCTGCTGGTAGTTTTAGTCTAATTTCTTAATGAATCAGCCGTTTGAACGAATCGACTCATGAAGACATTTACCGCCATCTGCTGGGAGTTTTAGTTTATTTTCTTAATGAATCAGCCGTTTGAACGAATCGACTCATAAAGACATTTACCGCCATCTGCTGGTAGTTTTAGTTTCTTCTTTAGAGTATCATTTCATTTATGAAAGGGATAGTTCACCAAAAATAAATAAATAAATAAATTCTGTCATCATTTGCTCACCCTCATGTCATGACTTACTTACTTTTGCACAACATAAAAGAAGGTATTTTGAATACTGTTTGGTAACTAAGCTGTTTTGGTCACTAGTGACTTTCATTGCATGAACAAAAAAATACTAAGATGTTTCTCGAATTATCTTCTTTTATGTTCCATACTTTATACAATAGCTTTAAATGATCTTTTGGGGGTATTTTCACAGCCAAATTTAGTTTGCGATTAATTAAATGTATTAATCGCAGCACCCTGTAATTAATTAGATTTAAAAATTTGAATTGACTGACAGCCCTAATATTAATAAGTTGTTCAGTAAAGATTGATCAAAAGTGACAGTAAAGGCATTTATAATGTTACAAAATATTTCTGTTTTGAATAAATGCTGCTCTTTTGAACTTTCTATTCATCAAAGATCCCTGAAAAAAATATATCACAGTTTCCACAAATATATTAAGCAGCACAACCATTTTAAACATTGATAATGATTAGAAATGTTTCTTGAAGCAAATCAGCATATTAGAATGATTTCTGAAGGAGCTTGCCAAAAATGCAGCTTTGCCATCAAAGGAATAAATTCCTTTTTAAAATAAATAATAAATCAAAGAAATGCAGCCTTGGTGAAAATAAGGTCAAAAGCAATTAAAAGAGTTACTGACCAAGAACTTGTGAACGGTAGTGTAATTAATTGCTCCAGTGTGAAACTACTTTCCTCATCACAACTACTCTTCTACATCACATTTTTTTCAACCTTCACACGTCCACTTCTGTGATAAAGAGATCATTTTTCACTATCGATTAGATTCCAGATGAATAAAGTCCCACTCTACCTTTTTCTCTCTGTGAATATCCTGTTCCACTCTGAAATTTGCCACATTAGTAAAATGGTTCGCAAACAATTTTTCATGTTCAGTTAGTGTGTTCTTATAGGCTTTTTGTGACTCATTGCAGGACAAATACAATTACTTCAACAATGCTGTACAATAGAAACATTCATTTTTATGTTTTTGTTCATTTCTGTGTTCGTGTTTAGGCTGATTTTGCAGTGGAGGCCTTGGCGAAGGCCACATATGAGCGTCTTTTCCGCTGGCTGGTGCACCGGATCAACAGAGCCCTGGACCGCAGACAGCGTCAGGGGGCCTCGTTCATCGGGATCCTGGACATCGCTGGATTTGAGATCTTCCAGGTGAGCGAGTTCTGAGAGTCTTAACGATTGTTTATTACTCCGCTGATAAATATTAATCTCTCTTTGTCTCTCTCTCTCTCTCTCTCAACAGCTGAACTCATTCGAGCAGTTATGTATCAACTACACTAACGAGAAACTACAGCAGCTGTTCAATCACACCATGTTTGTACTGGAGCAAGAGGAGTACCAGCGAGAGGGCATCGAGTGGAGCTTCATCGACTTCGGTCTGGATCTTCAGCCCTGTATCGACCTCATTGAGAGACCGGTCAGTGTGTGCGTTTGTGTGTAGATCTACATGATTCACATCATATAGAACCACCTGATTTGACATGCAGTGTCTTTATAGTGTTTCTGACTGGTTTGCTCCACAGGCTCATCCTCCTGGCATCCTGGCATTGTTGGATGAGGAGTGTTGGTTTCCGAGGGCAACTGATCGCTCATTTGTAGACAAGCTGTCAGCTGAGCAGGGTTCACACTCGAAGTTCATGCGGCCGCGGCAGCTTAAAGAAGAGGCCGACTTCTCCGTTCTACACTATGCTGGCAAGGTCAGATTTTTTTTTTTTACCACGGTGTATTCTCCATTTCTTGGTTTTCTAGTCAACATGAAGTCATAATACTTTTGTACTCTGCCAGGTGGACTATAAGGCAGATGAGTGGCTGATAAAGAACATGGATCCATTGAATGATAATGTTGCATCTCTCCTGCATCAGTCATCTGATCCCTTCATCTCTGAGCTGTGGAGGGAGGGTGAGTAAAATAAAATAAAATAATTACTAAGGATAAATAAATAAATAAATACATATTTTAAAAAGTATTTAAATGAATAACAAATAGATATTATTATTATTATTACCATCAACAACAATAAATTAATTGCTTCATAGTTCATACAATTACAAACTGGTACAAACAATACAAACCTTAAAGCGGCTTAATTACAGCCTTAAAGTTTTTAGTACAATCAAAATGATGAGATATATCTGAATTATTTATTAATAAATGGTTAATAATGCAATTTTTAAAATTCTATTAGTAATATTTAAAGCAGAAATAAACAAATAAACAAATAATAATAGTGCTGTTGTTGTTGTTGGTATTATTATTATTTTCCCTAAATGTCAGAAGGAAATAACTAAATAAATAATAATTATTATTATTATTATTTCCCAAAATTTCACATTCAGAAGCAAGAAAACTACTAGTACTACTATTACTACTAATAATAATACTAATTTGTTTGTTTAAATAAATAACAAATAAATATAAATGTTATTATTATTAATATTAACAACAGCATTAAATAAATTAATTGCTTGATACAATTACAAACTGGTACGGTTACACTTTATTTTAAGGTGTCCTTGTTACAGTGTAATTATGCTATATTATATTAATTATACATTATATAGTTATATATATTTATTATATACTTATATATTATATAAGTACTGAGTAATATTAATTAACTACATGTACTTATGTATGGTTAGTGTTACAAAGAATACAAACTGTAAAACGGCTTAATTACAGCCTTAAAGTTTTCAGTTCAATCAAAGGGATGATATGTAATTGTGTTATTAATAAAAGTTTGATAATGCAGTATTAATAATTCATTTTTCATTCTATTACTAATATTTAATATTGTAATCTTCAATAGACTAACGCTTTACCTTCTCTTCTCTTCTCTTCTCTTCTCTTCTCTTCTCTTCTCTTCTCTTCTCTTCTCTTCTCTTCTCTTCTCTTCACTGGCTTCTCTCAGATATTCAAACTCTTCCTCGCGTGTACTTTTTTGACTCTTATGCCACACTGCAAACCAATGGCACTGACAGCAGTAGGTTTTTCTGCTCTTCCTTTTTTAATCTCTCCATCAGTCCATCTAACTGTTGATTAACATTTCACTCTTTCTTTCATCTCTCTTTCATAGCATCAGATTGTGATGTGATGTGTGGGTTGCTGTTTTGCACTGTAGTTTAATAGAATGTGTAGTTTGTTTTTCATGGGTTGCTATAGAGCTTGTTCTAGTTAGTTTAGTTGAGTTTAACTAATGTTAATGTTAAATGGTTGTAATCTGCTTGTCTCTAGTTTATTCTTCATAAAGCATCTTTCTTAATGTTCTTTAAATGTAGAAAGATAATTTTTTCTGTTTGGAAAATGTTAAAAGTCTCAGAACAACACATTCATACTAAGACTTCTACCAGAACAGAAAAAAAATATATTTTTGGTTCTTGTACGGTATGTATGTTTTAATAGCCCTAATATAGAGCCATAGTGCTGTCTGAACATGCCATACACATGTTCATTTTCTATGATAACATCTCTGTTTTGTGCTTGTCAGTGGAGAGGATTGTGGGTCTGGATCAGGTGTCATCTGGTGAGAGCAGTGGACCGGTGAATTTTGGGGCCGCTGGGCTCAAGACGAAGAAGGGCATGTTTCGCACAGTGGGACAGCTCTACAAAGAGTCCCTCACTAAACTGATGGCCACCCTCCGCAACACCAACCCCAACTTCCTGCGCTGCATCATCCCTAACCATGAGAAAAGGGTAAGAAAAAGGCACATTTTTATAGAATCTTAATAGAAATGGAAAATTGCCATGATACTTCACTTCACTCCATAAGACATCTTAACATTTAAAAATTTTTAAGTTTCTTTTTGAGAGTTTCACATATAGTTAGGGGTGTAACTATATAAATAAATACATTTCTACCTCAGCTTTTGCTCTAAACTATAGGGCCTCTTTTACTTTACTATAAGGTTACAATTAACAACAGAGCCCAAACTTAAATTGAATGACTATTTATTTGTAACTATAATAATCAACACTCAAATTAAAAATTTGTATGCAAACAAGTAAATTGCACATAATGCAGTTTTTAAATTAACTTCTAAATTATACAAATTGTATTTGTTGTTGAAATATAATCATTTACACAGTGGCTGTCATAACTTGTTTAAAAAAAAGATTGATTTAAACATACATAAAACAATTAAGACATGACTAACAGGTAAAGTAAAATATAATGAAGTACATAGTCTAATATTTCTCAAAATGCTCTTCTCTAGACTTAATTTCTCTAGCAAATAACTAGCTGTAGACACTGATGACTTGCCTGAGATAAATGAAGTGCTATGTGACATTTTGTTTACAATCTGTTTTAATGACGTCTTTCCGCAATAGAAACACTGATTGAGCGATTACGCGAGGCATGATTTGTTCATTCATGTTTATTTCGCGTTAAAACTAAATGTTATGCATGCTCATTTAGATTATATTTGCTGTCATCTGACACTCTGCCATTGCTGTCATTGTAAAAAAACTTTTTTTAGCAAATCTCATTGTACATTTTGCAGCATTTAAAATATATATTTTTTATTTGTTGTGTTTTATTTTTGATTTATTTAGACTATAAACTTTAATATTGGTCATTTCATCATTTTAATATTGTAGCATCCCTAATTTTTTGTTCTTTAAATTGTCACAGGCAGGGAAATTGAGTCCTCATTTGGTTCTGGATCAGCTAAGGTGTAATGGGGTGCTGGAGGGAATCAGAATCTGCAGACAGGGCTTCCCGAACCGCATCCCATTCCAGGAGTTCAGACAGAGGTGTGTGTATTCTACTTAACCATATGTTGAGGAAAAAACTGTACTCAGAAGTGAGCTAAATCAGACAAAACCTCCTTTTGGGGACACCCTTATTTGTTAAAAGTTTATTTGAAAAATAAACTTTTATTTAAATTATAAAAATGCAGAATGGGATAGGTTATTCATAACTAGCTGTACAGTATGTAAAGCAATAGAAATCTATGGAATGTCTCCATTTACATTAGTAAAACAAGTAAACGTGTATATAGGTATAGCTTGCATAAATAAGAAATCTTAAATTGTCTTGTTCTTCTGTCTCAGGTATGAGATCTTGACTCCAAATGCTATTCCTCGAACCTTTATGGATGGCAAACAGGCGTGTGAGCTAATGGTAAGTGATTCCATTCAAACGTAAAACTTTTGAGTTCACAATATTGATTTGATAGAGGATATTATACGCTAGAGTTTCTGATCAATAAATGTGAACAGCACAAATGCTTTAAGTGTTTTATTCAGAACTCTGATTGGTATTCTGGAGTTTAGTCAGTACATGTTGTTGATTATACATTGTTACTTTACTTACAGATCAATGCTTTGGAGCTGGACAAGAACCTTTTCCGGGTGGGACAGAGCAAGGTGTTCTTCCGGGCTGGAGTTTTGGCTCACCTGGAGGAAGAACGAGACTTGAAGATCACTGACACTATCATCCACTTCCAGAGCGTGGCCCGTGGATATCTTGCCAGGAGGTAATCATCTGCGTGTGTGTGTGTGTTTGTGTGTGGTAGGTTGGTGGTGTGTACTGTAATATGTGTTATGTATGCGTATTAACTGACCTGTTCTTTCAGGGCATTCCATAAGAAGCAGCAGCAGCTCAGCGCTCTGCGTGTGATGCAGAGGAACTGTGCTGCGTACCTGAAGCTCAGAAACTGGCAGTGGTGGAGACTCTTCACCAAGGTAACACACAGCACTACATAATCATTTTATATAAAAAATTAAGTAGGGCTAATAATGAACTTGAAGGTAATGCATTTAGTTCAAATGTAGTTAAAGCTAACATGCAAACACAAATATTATGGAAATTTTGTATCGATATATAATGTAATGAAGTAGTAATATACTGTCTTACTGCATACTTACACATTCAAAGGTTTGACATTTTTGAAGGTTTTTGAAGCAAGTTTCTTATGTACTCCAAGGCTGCATTTATTTGATCAAACACAGTAAAAACAGTCATAGTGTGAAATATTATTATAATTTAATGTAACTGTTTTCTATTTAATATATATTTCAAAGTGCAATTTGTTTTGGGATAAAAGCTGATATGAAAGCAAAACTAAATTTTCAGCAGCTATTACTCCAGTCTACAGTGTCATATGATCCTTTAGAAATAATTTTAATATACTGATTTGATGCGCAAGAAACATTTTGTACTATCACAGTTGAAGATGGTTGTTTTGTTTAATATTTTTGTGGAAACTGTGATACTTTTCAGGATTCTTTGATAAATTGAAAGTTTAAAATAACAATGTTTATTTGGTGTGTTGTTTTGTAACAATTATTATTATTATTTTGTATTTTTTGTACAAAAATAATTTTGTATTTTAAAAAATCACATTGCATTAACCTAAATAATGTTCTTCATGTCATAACATAAATGAATAATTATTTAAATAATAATGTAAAATATTTAAGTGATATTTAACATAACTGAATCAGCCTACATACATTCGGTTACAACACACACACCAAAAAAAAATAAAAAAATAAAATAAATAAATAAAGATTACTTAACCCTTGCAGATTTCCACTTTTTATAGTGCTGTAGAAAATTTGATTTGGAATGGGTGTCTTTTGTGTTTATTTACTTTGTGACCTTTGTCCTCTTATCCAGGTGAAGCCCTTGCTGCAGGTGACCCGCCAGGATGAAGAGATTCAAGCTCGGGAAGCACAGCTTCAGAAAGCCAAAGACAATCTGAGTAAACTAGAGCATGACTTTTCTGAACTGGACAGAAAAAACCAACAGGTAACTTTATTTCCTTGTTGAGCATATTAGTAAACCAAAACAAGAAAGTGTTTATTTGTCTGATTTCCACATTCATCTTGATGTCCTCTTTGAAAGCTGATGGAGGAGAAGTCAGTGCTGACTGACCAGCTGCAGGCGGAGGCAGAGTTATTCGCAGAGGCAGAGGAAATGAGAGCGCGGCTGGCCAGTCGCAAACAGGAGCTTGAAGATGTGTTGGGGGAGCTTGAGAGCCGATTGGAGGAGGAAGAGGAGAGGACCCTTCAGCTGACCAATGAGAAGAAGCGAATGCAGCAAATTGTGCAGGTGAGGAGGATGGGTGTTTCTGGCTGCGTCTGATGTCCACTATGGAATATCTTCTGTCAACATCACTGTCTCTTTCGCTCAGGATCTGGAGGAACAGCTCGACGAGGAAGAGGGAACACGTCAGCGCCTCCAGCTGGAGAAAGTCACCCTGGAGAGCAAAGTGAAGAGTCTGGAGGCTGAGATGCTGACTGTGGGAGAGCAGAGAGACAGATTAAGCAAGGTCGTTAAAGAGAAGAGGACTATTGTTTGAATGCAGCTACAATGGTACAATGGTTCATGAATTTTACTGTCTTTCCCATTCTCAGGAGAAAAAACAGCTGGAAGAGAGACTGAATGAAGTGACAGATCAACTCACAGAAGAAGAGGAGAAGGTGAAGAGTCTTAACAAGCTGAAAAACAAACAGGAAGCTGTCATTGCTGATTTAGAAGGTAACAGTCCTTGTGTTAATTATGCGTTGAAAAACTTTGTTGATGATTTATTAGATCTATTGAATTTGGTCTTTGTTGTGGAGATTTCAAGACTGTATTTATTACATTTTGCAGAAACACAATTATGGAATTCATTATTTACAGAGAGACCGTTTGGGTCATTTTTTATTTTTTTTATTTTTTTAAAGAACTTGATTTATTTAGTAAGGACACATTAAATTGATTTGGTTGTTACATATGTAACCCTCATTCCCTGAAGGAGGGAACGGAGACGTCACGTCAGTGACCGATGAATTGGGATCTACTTCGAGTGTAAACTAAACGAGCCAATGCACACTGGCATGCGATTATTGCATCCAGCTGCCGCTGATCACAGCGTGAGTATAAGTAGGCAGCCGGTGCAGCTCAGCGGTGGTACAGCAGCCGTGGCGACGGAACGTGACGTCTCTGTTCCCTCCTTCAGGGAACGAGGGTTACATACGTAACCGAGACGTTCCCTTTCAGTCGGTCACTCTAAACGTCACGTCGGTGACCGACAAATTGGGATCCCTATCAAAGTGCCACGGATACTGCCCCTTCCAGTGTCCTGTGGAAGCCACCTGCGCCCCTTCTTTTTGGCGTAGGCCGGGGCTTACCACAAGAAGACCAGTTACTGCTACTATGGCACTACCCACTCAGTAAGACTGGATAACACTGGGAAAACGTGCCCGTTCCACATGGAACCTGAACGTTGCGGAAGCCATCCATCCCGAAGGAGGTTTCGGAAGCACTTACACATATGAACAACCGTCTAGGAGCATACGGAAGATTAGAGGTGATTGTAACCCTCTTGGAAAATAGCAGAAAGTGGATTTTACACATATGGGATCCAGTTAGGTCTCTACATATGGAACCCAGCCCTCTACCGGTTCTCACGGATTCATCAAGTGAGGGCTTGGCACCGGACGCTCGGCCACGTCTGGCTGCCGAGGGGTTGGAAGAGCTCGACAGGGTCTACGATATGGACTCTCTGGAGCAGTTTTAGCAAGCCAACCCGCAAGACTAGGGGAAGTCGTGACCTAATTTTTTTGCGGGTTCGAGTCTCGTACCGGCAGGGATTGTAGGTGGGGGGAGTGAATGTACAGCGCTCTCTTCCACCTTCAATACCACGACTGAGGCGTCCTTGAGCAAGGCACCGAACCCCCAACTGCTCCCCGGGCGCCGCAGCATAAATGGCTGCCCACTGCTCCGGGTGTGTGTTCACGGTGTGTGTGTGTGTGCTCACTGCTGTGTGTGTGCACTTAGGATGGGTTAAATGTAGAGCACTAATTCCTAGTATGGGTAACCATACTTGGCCACATGTCACGTCACGTCATATTCGAGCCAGCACCCAGGAGGATGCAACACTTCTAGTAGAGTAACTTGAACAGGCAGGGCACGCCCTGTGCCTGATAAGCCAGGGTGATGGCATCCATCCTCTGCTAAGAGACGGCATTCCCTTCTGCCAGCCTCCGACAGTCAAAGAGCTAGTCTGAGGTCTGAGGTCCTGAAGCTTTGCGTCCTGTCTACGTAGCATCTCAATGCTCGGACGGGACAAAGCAAAGCTAGGGCTGGGTCTGCCTCCTCCGGGCCAGCTCTTGCAGGCTCACCACCTGATCCCTGAAGGAAGTAGTGGGAACCTTGGGCACATAGCCGGACCGGGGCCTCAGGATTACCTGGGAGTCAGCCGGCCCAAACTCTAGGCACGAATCGTCTACCAAAAATGTGTGCAGGCCCCCTACCCTCTTGATGGAGGCCAGTGCAAGCAGGAGCAGAGTTTTCATTGACAGAAACTTCAGCTCGACTGTCCGAAATGGTTCGAAATGGGCCTTGCTGTAGTGTTCTGAGCACTAGAGACAGGTCCCAAGAGGGTATAGAGGGGGGCCGTAGAGGATTTAGCCTTCTCACCCCCCTAAGGAACCTGATGATCAGGTCATGCTTCCCCACCTACTTCCCTTCCACGGGGTCATGGTTAGCAGCAATCGCAGTGACATAGACTTTAAGGGTGGAGGGAGACCTTTTTGCATCAACCCTTGCTGCAAAAAGGAAAGCACGACAGACATTTCCGGGGGTCCTCTCAGTGAAAAGAACACCACTTGACGAACAGGTTCCACTTCAAGACGTAAGCGTGTCTCATAGACGGTGCTCTCGCTGAAGTGATGGTGTCAACTACCTCTTGGGATAGGTCACCTAGAACCTCCGCGTCCCGTCCAGGGACCAGACTTGAAGTTTCCAGAGGTTTAGACGCGGGTGCCACAGGGTGCCCCATCTCTGAGTCAGTAGATCCTTCCTCAGAGGAATCTGCCAAGGCTGTCACAAGGAGCATCAGTTCCGGGGACCAAGTCCGAGTGGGCCAGTAAGGCACCACAAGCAGGACCTGATCCTCGTCCTCCCTGATCTTGCACAGTATCTGTGCAAGAAGGCTCACTGGGGAAAACGCATACTTGCGAAGGCCCCGCGGCCAGCTGTGTGCCAGTGCGTCCGTGCCGAGTGTTCCCTTGGTCAGGGAGTGGAACAACTGGTAGTGAGAGGTTTCTGGAGAGGCAAACAGGTCTACCTGAGCCAATCCGAAACGACTCCAAATCATGGACTGTCTGGGGATGGAGTCTCGATTCTCCCAGAAGCGGAGCTTGTGTCAGCTCGTCGGCTGCCCGGTTGTGCAGACCAGGAATGTGAATGTCACGAAGCGACCTCAGATGCTTCTGACTCCAGAGGAGGAGGTGGCGGGCGAGTTGCGACATGCGACGGGAGCGTAGACCACCTTGTCGGTTGATGTACACAACGGTTGCAGTGTTGTCTGTGCGGACCAGTAAGTACTTGCCTCGTAAGAGCCTTTTGAGACGGATCGAGGCAAGGCGCACTGCCAGCAACTCTAGGCAATTGATGTGCCAGTGCAGTTGGGGGCCCATCCAAACCTCCGACACTGCAAGCCCATTGAACGTGGCCCCCCAGCCGGTGGTAGAAGCATCCGTGTGAACCACAGCATGCCTGGAGACCTGTTCCAGGGGCACTCCTGCCCGGAGAAACGCAAGGTCTAACCACAGGGTGAAGGTTTGGCAGCAGGCCAGTGTGACTCTGACCCGGTGAGTGCCGCGTAGCCACGCCCACCTCAGGACTCAGCCATGGAGCCAGTGTTAAAGCGGTCTCATATGAAGCAGCCCCAGCCCTGTCGGAAGGATCGACACCTGAAAGTACGCGTCCTTCAGGTCGATCGCTGCAAACCAATCTCGGTGACGGATGCACCCGAAGATGCGTTCCCGCGTCAACATCTTGAACGATAACCGGCGAAGGGCACGGTTAAAGACACGCAGGTCCAAGATCGGTCATAACCCACCGCCTTTCTTGGGTACAATGAAGTAGGGGCTGTAAAACCCCATCTCCATATCAGCTGGAGGGACCGGCTCTATCGCATCCTTCGCCAGTAGGACTGCGATCTCCACACGCAAGACAGGAGCATTAGCCGCCTTCACTGATGTGAAGCTGATGCCGCTGAACTTGGGGAGACGCCGGGCGAACTGAATCACATAGCCGAGTCTGATGGTCCGCAGGTCAATTGTCAAGCATATTGCCGTTATTTCCGGATCTGATTCAGGCATTGCTAGAGTCCCGAAGGACAGCAGCTCAGCCGAACCTTCCTCTCCAGAAAGATCCGGCTCACCCTCCGATGCAGCGATCGACATCCGGTCGTCGGGAGGAGTGCCAACGGATACTGCTGGTACGCTCCTTGTAGAGAGCCCAGCACGTTCCATTGGCAGCTCAACTGGTTGCGGAGTGCAAGAGGAGTGATGGTCCCCCGAGGGTTGGTTCCCTGGAGGGTTTGCCATCACTGTTACCCTCAGACTGCCCGTGCTACTGCCTTAAGTAGCCCCCGCCTGACTGCCGACATGACGAGAACTAGATCGAGGCAGAGGCAACGGAGCTCCGCCCCTTTGAGGAAACAGAGCTTGGCCCGCGACTCCGAGATGATCATCTTCCCGCAATGAGAACATGACTCATCCACAAACGCCACCTCAGCGTGCTAAATGCCTAGGCACTTGAGGCAGCGATCGTGACCATCACCCAGCGCCAGGTAACGACCGCATCCAGAATCGCCTGGGTGGTACGTTTGTCTATAGCAAGACCCACATCGTCTTTACAAAGACGTAACGTCGAGTTTGCCATACAACATCGTCTTTAAAAAGACGCACCCGTGAATGCTCTTTTAGGGAAAAAGCTCTTTTAGCGTGCTGAAGCGCACAGGGGAGATGGCCGCCTGTAACACAAACAGGGGGTAGTGTACCCTCACGGCGGTCCAGGAGAGCATAGCCGTTATTTCCAGATCCGATTCAGGCACAGCTACAGTCCCGGAGGACAGCAGCACAGTCAAATCTTCTTCTCCAGAAAGTTCCGGCTCACCCTCCGATCCAGCGATCGACATTCGGTCATCGGGAAGAGCGCCAAGGGATACTGCTGGTACGCTCCTTGTAGATGGCCCAGCACGTTCCATTGGCAGCTCAACTGGTTGCGGAGTGCAAGAGGAGTGATGGTCCCCCGAGGGTTGGTTCCCTGGAGGGTTTGCCATCACTGTTACCCTCAGACTGCCCGTGCTACTGCCTTAAGTAGCCCCCGCCTGACTGCCGACATGACGAGAACTAGATCGAGGCAGAGGCAACGGAGCTCCGCCCCTTTGAGGAAACAGAGCTTGGCCCGCGACTCCGAGATGATCATCTTCCCGCAATGAGAACATGACTCATCCACAAACGCCACCTCAGCGTGCTAAATGCCTAGGCACTTGAGGCAGCGATCGTGACCATCACCCAGCGCCAGGTAACGACCGCATCCAGAATCGCCTGGGTGGTACGTTTGTCTATAGCAAGACCCACATCGTCTTTACAAAGACGTAACGTCGAGTTTGCCATACAACATCGTCTTTAAAAAGACGCACCCGTGAATGCTCTTTTAGGGAAAAAGCTCTTTTAGCGTGCTGAAGCGCACAGGGGAGATGGCCGCCTGTAACACAAACAGGGGGTAGTGTAGCCTGATGTGTGCAGCCCACTCAACACGGGAAACCACCACCGCTGAAGCGCCGTACTGCCTACACGAAGAGCTCTCAAAGAGCGCGCTGAACTCGTTCAGTCTTCTTCTCTCAGTAGAAGTCAGGAGCAGAACGATGTGATCGCTCAGCTCCAAATCGAAAAGCTGAATATCCGCTGCACCGGCTGCCTACTTATACTCACGCTGTGATCAGCGGCAGCTGGATGCAATAATCACATGCCAATGTGCATTGGCTTGTTTAGTTTACACTCGACGTAGATTGGTCTCGCTAAGCGAGATCCCAATTCGTCGGTCACCGACGTAACGTCGAGAGTGACCGACTGAAAGGGAATTATAGTGTCCACAATAATATTAGCAAAACTGTATTCAACATTGATAATAATAGACAGATGCTAACAGATTAGCATATTAGAATGATATCTGAATGATCATGTGACACTAATGCCTTGAATAATAGCTGCTGAAAATTCAGCTTTGTCATGCAGTAATAAATTGCATTTTAAAATATATTAAAACAGAAAACAGTTATTTTAAATTGTAATAATATTTCACGATATTGCTGTTTACTGTATTTTAATTAAATTAATTCAGCCTTGATGAGACTTCTTTCAAAAATCTTACCCCTTTTGAATGATAGTGTATCTCATGTCTCATATATATTTTTTGATGCATTAAACACAAAAAGTGAATATCTACGCATCTCCTTTCCATACAACAACAGTGGAGAACAAAAAACACTATAAACGCACCATAAGAATAGTTTAAAAAGACTTCAGAAGACTTGTAAATAGCACAAGAAAAAACTTGTAAATAGTTTCAAATCACATGAACTACTCTTATGGTGCTTTTTTTCCCCGTCCTTTTTGAACCTTGTCTTACATTTTCAATATGAACGTCTTGGTATGCAAAAGAACAGCATCAAGATTCTTTAAAAAAAATTATTTTGTCTTCCATATAAAAATAACAGTTACTGGGATTGTTGGGGTTGGAATAGCATGATGGTAAATAAATAACTTTTTTTTATTTTGGGGTGGACTAATCCTTTATAAAAACACAAACAGGTACAAAAATTTATTTTCCTTTCCCTCAGAGCGCCTGAAGAGGGAAGAGCAGGGCCGTCTGGAACAGGAGAAGTGGAAGAGGCGGATGGAAGGAGAGGCGGTGGAGGCCCAAGAGCAGCTGTCTGACCAGAGCTTACTCGTCACTGAGCTGAGAGGCAGCCTGAGCCAAAGAGAGAAAGAGATCACCACACTACAGACACGGTACATGCACAAACATAAGTCTATCTTATAGCGAATCCAGCCATGTAGCACAATGTAGCACAGCCACTTTAAGAAGTAATACTCCTTAACAATGACATCTCTTACATTTTCTCTCCCTCAGGCTGGAGGAAGAGGGGGCACGTCGTGCAGAGGCTCAGAGAGCCCTGAGAGAGGCCATGTCTCAGGTCTCTGAGCTTAAAGAAGAGGTGGACAATGAAAAAGGAATGAGGGAGAGAGCTGAGAAACAGAGGAGAGATCTGGGAGAGGAGTTAGAGGCGTTGAGGACTGAACTAGAAGATACATTGGACACCACAGCTGCTCAGCAAGAGCTCAGGTGTGTGTGTGTGTGTGTGTGTGTGTGTGTTTGTGTGTGTGTGTGTGTGTGTGTGTGTGTGAATCTTTACATGCTTACTGAATAAAAGGCATAAACTATTGAACTAAAAGACAAGTTTCGATATTAAATTGTCACGAAACAGTCAACTAGTGAAAATCACTATTAAATCCTTGTAAAAAAGAAATACACTTGAAAAGAATACTTACTACAGAAATAATATACTTTAAAAATTTGTACAGAAGAACTCAGCATAATGTTTTTGGACACTCAATGAATGTTAATTGCAAATAAATAAGATGTATGACAGTTTAAAGGGGTCATATGATGCGATTTCAATTTTTCCTTTCTCTCTGGAGTGTTACAAGCTCTTGGTGCATAAAGAAGATCTGTAAAGTTGCAAAGACTAAAGTCTCAAATCCAAAGAGATATTCTTTATAAAAGTTAAGAGTCAGCCACACCTACCTAAAACGGCTCATTCTAACACGCCCCCACATACCTACGTCACTATCTGGGAAGATTTGCATAACGCCGCCCAAATGTTCACACAAAGAAAGAAGGCGTAACTTTTATTCTTGCTGTAATATTGTTGTTGCCATGTCATGAAGGCACTGTGTGTTACGTTGTGAAAGCGAAACTACTTTGTTTGGCCTTCCAAAAGAGGATGATATCTGCTTCGTCATGCCTGGAGCTGATCCATGCTGGTTGCTGAGGAAATACAACAACTTTGCACTGTGGATCACCGGATCGGCTTTCACCATGGACGAAGCGGAGTCCAGCCCGGGGTCGTCACATGTGGTTGCCGCAAACCTCCTTCGTCGAATCCGCCGGCCGCGCCGTTCTTAAGCCCGCCGCTTCTGCTCACTCTAGGCTGCCGTGTGTGACGCTATGTTTCGTTGTGAAAGCAAAACTACTTTGTTTGGCCTTCCAAAAATGGACATGACTAGAAATCAGTGGTTAAGTTGTATTTACAACACTATTCCAGAACACTTCAACCCAAATATTCAGATGTGTGCAGCACATTTTATGGAGGACCATTTCCTGATCCTGGGAGAGTAGACTACAATGCCGGCTGTTCTGACTCACAGACTGTAAGTAAGTATTTTTATATTTAAAGTATTTGCCACTGATGATTCAAACGCGGTCACACGCTTGAGGTATTCGGCCAATCACAACGCACTGGATAGCTGGCCAATCACAACACACCTTGCTTTTCAGATCGATGAGCTTTGTAAAAATCGACACGTTTCAGAAAGGTGGGGCATAGAGGAGAAACAATAATGTACAATATGTGGAAAATAATGTGTTCTTTGAACCTTAAACCGCATAAACACATTTCATTACACCAAATACACAAAATAATGTTCTTTTTAGCAACATCATATGACCCCTTTAAATGTATACAGTTCTATAAAAAATATAAAACTTTATAAATATACTTTTTTCAGTTTAGGTGTAATTAACTTAACTTCAGTATGCTGTTTTGACCCAGTTTAACAGGACTTAAGTACACTTTCATATATAATTTCATAATCACTTCTATTGTCTCTAAAATAGTGTACTGTCAAATGTAGTGACAAGCATTTATGGTAAACTACAATATACTTTCATCTCATTTTAAATGAAGCTTGTATTTAAATGTATGTGTAAATACACATTTGTAATGATAAAGTTGCAATTTAGTACATTTAAATATAGACACTATAACACACTACAGTTACGTTACTCAACACATTACTAAGTACTTTACATGTGCTTTAGTATGTTGGTCAACACATCAACATAAGTGTACTTTAAAACACAACAAAAGATTAAAACAATGATTTGTACTTTAAAACCTTTAATTGTGCATTTTTTAAATGTATACTTAAATGTTCTTAAAGACAGTATAGTTTCATGATACACACTTATGTGGCCTTTTATTTATTTAATATTATATTACCAACAAGTACAATTTAAAAATATATATATTTTAAGATTTGAAGTACACTTCAATTGCATATTCATTACAATTATCAGAAGGGTAGACTTTATTTAAAGGCAGGCATTTTGGACAACTTAATTTATCCTGATTTTAAGCATGTGTGTTTGTTTAGGTCTCGACGTGAGGCTGAATTAGGAGAGCTTCAGAGATGTTTGGAGGAGGAGACCCGTCGTCATGAAGCCCAGCTGTCGGAGCTCCGCATCAAACACACCGCTGCTATAGACTCCCTACAGGAGCAGCTGGATAACGCCAAGAGAGTGCGCCTCTTAGCATTTACGTCTAATGCAACATGTTTACAAGCTGTTGTTACACTGGGAAGTCAGGTTTGTATTTGTAAGTTGCCAACCTTTGAGGTGCGTGTGTGTTCACAGTCCCGTCAGTCTCTGGAGAAGGCGAAGGCCGTTCTGGAGGAGGAGCGCATGAACCTGAGTGCTGAGCTGAAGACTTTACAGGGAGGGAAGATGGAGAGCGAGAGGGGCAGAAAGCGAGCAGAGGGACAGTTACAGGAACTCAACGCACGCCTCGCACAGGCTGAGAGAGAAAGAGAGGAGCGAGAGGAGCGACTCAGTAAACTCCAGGTAGAAATGGGCCTTTCAACTAAGGCCACTAATTTCACAGTCAGTATCTTGGTTTATGGAAAATAAACAGTTTTTTACCGATTTCTGGTGGGCACCAGGGAAATCTAATTAATGTAAACTCGGTTTGTGTTTTGGGCCAATTTTTGCAGTTGAAATCCAGAAATCTGTTTCAATGGGATTCTATGCGATTGGTAGTTTCGCATGAAGGCAAAAGATTTCCCCTTGCAGATTTTGCAGTGGGTTCAAGTTGGTTAAGTGAATTAGTTCTGTTGATCAATGGAAAACTACTTGGTTTGAAAGTGAGTTCTCTGTGAGCTATGCTTCATACAGTACATTGCTAGACTATTGACAGTAGACAATGGCAAAAAAGCTTTTTTGCCCACAAAATTTAACTGAAATCCTTCCCCTTTCTGGAAAATCTAGCTTAAGCTGGTAGCGGTTTTGATACATGGTATCTGGTTTCTAGTTGGTCCAAACTGGTCATTAGCTGGTCCAAGCTGGTAATTGGCTGGTTTACCAATCACAATGTTACAAACGAACCAATAAATCAAACCAGTTTTAAAAACATCCAAACACTGAATTCTCTCCCTCTCAGTCGGAGCTCGAGTCTCTGTCCAGTTCTCTGTCCTCATCTGAGTCCAAATCTCACCGCCTAAGTAAGGAGGTCAGCAGTCTGGAGAGCCAACTACATGATGTGCAGGTAACTTGTGTGTGTGTTTTAATTTGCTCTCTTCCGCTACATATTAATAGGCTTATGGGACTTAATTGAACTGCTTTTGAAGAAACACATTGTATGATGGTTGGATGGATGAATAGGAAATTAAATCCTCCAGAGGTTTGCCGCACACTCTGATTGTTGTTATATTTCAAAGCAGATCTTAGAGACTGTGATGTCTCTCTGCGACTGTGAATATGATGGCTTCTTAAGCATACTTAATGTGTGTGTGTATTATTTTTTAGGAACTACTGCAGGAAGAGACACGGCAGAAGTTGGCGCTGGGCTCACGTGTGCGTGCTCTAGAGGAAGAAAAAGCTGGATTGATGGAGAGACTAGAGGAGGAGGAGGAGAAGACCAGAGAACTTACACGCCAGATTCAGAACCACACACAACAGGTACACATCCATTTTTCACCCAACTAAAAACCTGTTGTTTTATCTTTACTCTGTTTTATGATGTTATGTTTATGTGTCCATGCAGCTGTCTGATCTAAAGAGGCAGACAGAGGAAGTGAATTCAGCTGTGGAGGTCGGGGAGGAGGCCAGGAGGAAGATGCAGAGAGAGCTGGAGAATGCCATACAGAGAGAGAGAGCCAAAGAAGAAGAGAAAGAACGCATAGAGAGACAGAAAGAACGGCTGAGAGAAGAGATAGAGGACATGACAATTGCTTTGCAGAGAGAAAGACAGAACTGCACTGCTCTGGAGAAACGACAGAAGAAATTTGATCAGGTACAGTAGGAAACACAGAAGGGGAGGGAGGGAAGGTTGGATGGATAGATGTTAGAATGATTGGATGGTTGGAAGGATGGATTGACTGGATAAATGGACTGACTGGTAGATCGAAGGGTTGGATGGATGGTTCGACTGAATGAATGCATGCATAAAGAGATGGATGGAATGGTGAATGGATTTAGTGGTGAGTGGAATGATGGATTGATTGACTGGTGGATGGAAGGATTAACTGATGGGATGGTGGAGGGATGGATGGTTTGACTTGAATGGATACATGAATGGATTCACTTGGATGGCTGGAGAGATGGAAGGAATAATGGATGCATTGACTGGTGGGTGGGTGGATGGATAGATTGACTGGTGAATGGATGGATGATAAATTAACGGACGTATGGATGGATGGATGGATGATGGATAGATTGACTGGTGAATGGATGGATGGATTGATGGATGATAAATGGATGGATTGACTGATGGACTGATGGATGGATTGAACTGTGTGGGTGGATGGATGGATGATAAATGGACAGATGGATGGATAGATTGGCTGGTGGATGGATGGGTGATAAATGGATGAAATGATGGCTGGATTGACTGGTTGGTGGATGGATGGATGGAATGATGGATAGAATGACTGGTGGATGGATGGATGATAAATGGAAGGATGATGGATGGATAGATTAACTGGTGGATGGATGGATGGATGATAAATGGAAGTATGTATGGATAGATTAAATGGTGGATAGATAGATAGATGGATGGATTGACTGGTGGAAGGATGGATGGATGAATGGATGATAAATGGAAGGATGGATGGATGGATAGATTAACTGGTGGATGGATGGAATGACTGGTGGATGGATGGATGGATAGATTAACTGGTGGATGGATGGATGAAGGGATGATAAATGGAAGTATGTATGGATAGATTAAATGGTGGATAGATAAATGGACAGATTGGCTGGTTGATGATGCATAGATGGTTGGATTAGCTGTGGTAAAAAGTAAAAAGCCTTGAAAATGAGAAGTGCAGCTCAAGACATTCATCACCCTTTGACCTTTAACCTTCAGTGTTTGGCAGAGGAGAAAGCAGTTAGTGCTCGGCTGCTGGAGGAACGGGACCGTGCAGAAGCAGAGAGTCGAGAGAAGGAGACACGTTTCCTGTCTCTCTCAAGGGCATTGCAGGAAGCAACAGAGCAGAGAGATGAGCTGGAGAGAACCAATAAGCAGCTCCGTCTGGAGATGGAGCAGCTCGTCAATGCCCAAGATGACGTGGGCAAAAATGTACAGCTTGCTTTTTACCAATGCACTCATATAATATTTATTAACATTTATTTATTAATATTTATTTATATCGTAGTAATAACAAGAGCTTATTCTGTTCTAAAATAATTATGTTTTTCTTTCTTTATGTTTCCCTTTGTCACGCCTCTTCAGGTTCATGAGCTAGAACGTTCTCGACGGGCTTTGGAAACAGAAGCCCAGTCTCTGAAAGAGCAGACCCAGGAGCTGGAGGATGAGCTGGCAGAAGCCGAGAATGCTCGCCTCAGACTGGAAGTCACCCTTCAGGCTCTTAGAGCTCAGTTTGAGAGAGAGATTAGCACTAAAGAGGAGAAAGGGGAAGAAAAGAGGAGAGCACTCAACAAACAGGTAACTGCCTTCAGCAGAACGAAGAAGTGAAGCGATGAGATAATATTTGAAAAGAATTGATCTTGACCTCCTTTTCTTTCCTGCTCTATATTTGTTCCTTCTATCATTTGTTCAGGTGCGAGAACTTGAAACAATGCTTGAAGAGGAGAAGACTCAGAGAGCTCAGGCTTTGACTGTCAAAAAACAACTGGAGACAGAGCTGCAGGAGGCGGAGGCTCAGGTGGAAGCAGCCAATCGGGGTAGAGAGGAAGCACTAAGACAGATGAAACGTCTCCAGGTTCGTCAGTTTAATTAATCATTAAATAAACCACAATAAATTATAAAAATGGGTTGCTGCGAGTTGAGTGATTATAACTAGTTGTGTATCAGAAGTGATGTTTGGAATATTTATTGTAAACCAAAAGGCCAGATTTCATTAAAATAAACCAAAGTAGTCGTATAAAATTTATGAATCTAATTTGACCTGCAGGCTGACAACTGAAGAGCCCTGATGTGAATATTCAGTGTGTTCCTGTGTGTTTTTCAGACTCAGATGAAGGAGCTTATTCGTGAGCTTGATGAGACCAAGTTGGCTCGAGACGAGATTGTTGCCCAGTCAAAGGACAGCGAGAAACGGCTGCAAACGCTGGAAGCAGAACTATTACAGCTGACAGAGGTGTGTTACTATGCCTGTGTAACCCAGAAGATGTTTTAACTGTTTTGAGTCTCTTATTCTTTTTTTTTGCTCTTCTTTTGACATTCTCTCAGGAGCTGGCTGTTTCTGAGAGGCAGCGGAGACAGGCCCAACAGGAGAGAGACGAACTGGCAGATGAAATTGTCAACAGTACAACTGGAAAGTCAGTATCTGTGCTTGTGCTGAGGTCCAGTGATGATGAAATAAAAATTTCCCCATTCTTACTTTCTTAATACATGTTCCTTGTCTTAATGTGCACAATTCATAGGTCCACATTATTGAACTCTAGGCCTGTTTATTAAAAAAGTAAATAGGACTCATGTTGTGAAACTTCGTTTCCCCTGCAGATCTGCACTGTTGGAAGAGAAGAGGCGTCTTGATGCCAGAATCACTCAGCTGGAGGAAGAGTTGGAGGAGGAACAAAGTAATGCTGAACTACTAGCCGAGAGGCAGAGGAAGAGCACCTTACAGGTAGACAAAGAAACACACAAACACACACTATACTACCAGACAAACACACAGAGACAGAGCCTTTCTCTCTGTTTCTGTTAGGTTGAGACACTTACAGTTCAGATATCTGGAGAGAGGACGCTGGCACAGAAGAGCGAGAGCGCACGAGAGACTCTGGAGAGGCAGAATAAAGAGCTGAAAACTCGTCTCAGTGAGATGGAGGGGGCTGTGAAGGGAAAACATCGCCTCAGTGTCGCCGCCCTGGAGGCCAAGATAGAATCTGTGGAGGAACAACTGGAGCAGGAGAGACAGTAAGAAAACAGTGGGGGAGCTAAAGAAAAAACATGGAAGTCGAATGGACAGATGTCTTTCCAAAACAGTATAGTTTCTTATTCAAGTCAATTCAAATGAAGTCATATTGATTGTTATAGCATTTTATACAATGCAGATTGCTTCAAAGCCGCTTCACATTAATAAACAGGAAAATAAAATTGTTAATGTTGTAAGATTTGTCAGTTATGAAATTATTAATGGATTTCAACTGTAAAGCAGCTCTACTGAAGATAATAGTGTCAATATCTAGCTCAATTTAACGTGCATAAATTATAAGACGAGTTCAATTCAGCTATAAGAAGCTCTGCAGAAGGCAAAAGTTTCATTATTCAGCTCAAGTAAGTTCAGTGTCGATTCAATTCAGTTCAATAACAGTGACGATGTTGAAATTATGTTCTCATCTGATAGTGTCAGTAATTTTATTGAATATTAATGGTCTTTTAAACCCCTTATTGCATGAAAAAAAAACATAAAAACGAGAAGTAGCAGAATGTCAGAACTGTTCTTTTACTTACAGTTCAGGTAGAGATCTAAACGGGACGAAAAGTTTCATTAAAAGTATTATAAAAGTGGCCTATATGACTTACATGTAATATTCCATGTGCTTAGAAGCCATTTGATAGCTTTGTGTGACAAACAAACTCAAATTATTCACTAAAAATCAAGCTTGATAGCCATGGTTACTATTAAATTTCATTGTATCTACAAGAGCATACAGTTTCTAAAAAAGCAAGAAAATTATGACAGATTTTTTTAAGGATCTAAATTTACTGTAAAGATCAAACCAGCAATGTGACTGTTTTGTGTGTCTTCTCTCCCTTTTCTCCCTTCCTAGGGAGCGAGCCATGGCCAATAAGCTTGTGAGGAAAACAGAGAAGAAACTGAAAGAAGTTCTGATACAGGTGGAAGATGAAAGGAGACATGCAGATCAGTATAGAGAACAGGTACTCCTCAAAAAAAAAATCATCAGTGTTTCTCAGACTGGAGAACTGTGTAGGATTTAGGCCTTCTTTAAAGCAATTCTCCATACAACATTTGGAGATCAGCGTGAGATAAATCACATTAAAACAGTCCAAAATGATTATGAAATTAACTAGCAACATTAAGGAAAAAAAGGTAAAAGCCAAGGCAAAGGTAAAATACTGTGTAGCTCGTGGGAATGAATGAACTCATCCCATAAAGCATTGCTAATTATCGATTCAGTCTGTATTTCTTCTTTTAAAAGCATTTTCTTATCAGAAACATAATTGCTTATCTCTACAACAGCTTATATTACATAACATAAGTAACTAATGCTACCTTGCCAGCCTTCATTAACTTACAAAAACTCATCACATGATTTGCAGGATGCATAGGGTGATGGGTAGTATAGTACACATGGAATTGTACAGTTCTAAAATCTCTCTTTTTGTAGTTGGATAAATCTATGGGACGTCTCCGTCAGCTGAAGAGGCAGTTAGAGGAGGTGGAGGAAGAGAACTCTCGCTCCAACGCTCAACGCAGGAAGCTACAGCGAGAGCTGGAGGAAATGAGCGACAGCATGCAGAGCATGAACCGCGAGCTCAACACTCTCCGTTCCCAACTCAGGTAAAGATTAGGATGGTTATTATGACAGTGCTATTTTAAGTATAAAATTCAAAGAGAGCAACACCGTGTGCTAACCAGACAGCAAAAAAGCAACAAGCAGCCCAGACCATGACAAGTCATTTTGCTAGTCACTTGGTATCATTTTTTTACAGTATGTAGCAAATATCTCCTCTAATTGGCTGTGACTGTCATGTCTGGCAGCAGTTTGCATTTAGTATGAACAGAAAAAATAGGAAACTTGCCACATGTTGTGCTTATAGGACAGTGAAAGATCCAGTCATTCTGTTCATACATAAATATATGTGCATGTCATCAAACCATTTCTTCACTGTATGTGCATGTTTCATTCACTCATTGACTCATCTAATGTGTCTGATTGTGTGTCCATCCATATTTGTCTGTTTGTCTCCTACACCCACTCAGCGTCACAGAACGGCAGAAGTCAGAACAGTAGGTTTTCATGTGTGACCATTGTGTGCTTTATGTTCCTCTCTGAGCAATTATCCTTTCTCCTCTTGATTCTAGTGGTGTGTAGAGGTGCCCTGTTGAGACTGTATAGGGGTGTAGAGGTGTCCTTTTTCAGTCCTTTGTAACTGATTTATTCAGAAGCATATAAAGATGGTGTAGTCTACATTGAAGTGTGGGTCACTTCCTGTTTATAGATGGTGATGAATCACAGATTCTCTCTTCCACCAATCATAGACTTAGTTTCACTCTTTCAGCGTCCTCTTTTTTCCTTTCTTTCTTCCAGTTTGTAATCAGTGAACCCAAAAAGTATTTGGACACTTAATTGGGCAACAAAATATCAAAACAAGTTGTTTTGTTTTGTTTATAGGACAAAATGTTTTAAAGCAAAACATATGACAAAAAAAGTTATTACACTATTTTGGCTTTTTTTTCTTGTGTTTATAGGACAAAATGTGTTAAAGCAAAACATCTGACAAAAACGTTATTACACTGTATTTTTTACACTGCTTGTGTTTTTGGTTTGGTTTGCTTGTTTTGTTTATTAGACAAAACATCTTAAAGGAATAGGCTATTTTGGCTTGTGTTGTTTTTTGTGCGTTTATAGCATTGGTCTCAAACTCAATTCCTGGGGCCAGTTTCAAAAAACAAGTTTACCATATAAGCCAGGTTTATTTCAGTTAGTCTGACTTATTGCCAGTTGATTTGGTTCAAAATAAATCAGACTGCAATAAGCCTGGATTATTTGGTAAACTTGTTTTATGAAACAAAACCCTGGAGGCCCACAGCTCTGCACAGTTTAGCTCCAACCCTAATCAAACACACCTGATCCAGCAAATCAATGTCTTCAGGATCACTAGAAACTTCCAAGCAGGTGTGATTTGGAGCTGTTTGGAGCTAAACTCTGCAGAGCTGTGGCCATCCAGGAATTGAGTTTGAGACCACTGGTTTATAGGATAAAACATGTTAAAACAAACAATTTGACAAAAATGTTATTAAACAGTATTTTGGCTTTTGTTTTGTTTATAGGACAACTGTTTTAAAGCAAAATGTTTTTGACAAAAAAAATGTTATTACACTATTTTTTGTGTGTTTTGTTTTTATAGGATAAAACATTTTAAAGCAAAACATTTGACAAAAAAGTTATTACACTGTAAAAATATTGTCAAATAACTTCTGATCTAAACAGCTATAGCGTGAAAATGTCTAGAAAAGTCCAAACTTGCTTTGATATTTTGTGTCGAATGCATATATAATGTTTTGGGGACACTGTATATGTATATTATATTTTGTGCATGAATTACAGTGAATTCTCTATTTCTGTGTTTGTGTCTCAGGCGAGCTCCGCTCCCTATCTCCATGCGTGCTGGCCGCAGGGCTCTGGTGGATGACCTTTCTCAGGAGAACTCTGATTCGGAGGATCCAGGTGCTTCTCCCACCCCGTCCAGCGGCCCGCCGGGTACCCCCACACCCTCAGACAACACCCTGGGGCCCCCTCCTCCCTACAGCCTTACAGAGGCTGAATAAGAAGGGGAGAGTGTGACAGATGGACAGTTTTACTGGTTTTACTCACATAGCTTTTGCAATCGTACACATAACCTATATGACTTACATGTAATATTCCATGTGCTTAGAAGCCATTTGATAGCTTTGTGTGACAAACAAACTCAAATTATTCACTAAAAATCAAGCTTGATAGCCATGGTTACTATTAAATTTCATTGTATCTACAAGAGCATACAGTTTCTAAAAAAGCAAGAAAATTATGACAGATTTTTTTAAGGATCTAAATTTACTGTAAAGATCAAACCAGCAATGTGACTGTTTTGTGTGTCTTCTCTCCCTTTTCTCCCTTCCTAGGGAGCGAGCCATGGCCAATAAGCTTGTGAGGAAAACAGAGAAGAAACTGAAAGAAGTTCTGATACAGGTGGAAGATGAAAGGAGACATGCAGATCAGTATAGAGAACAGGTACTCCTCAAAAAAAAAATCATCAGTGTTTCTCAGACTGGAGAACTGTGTAGGATTTAGGCCTTCTTTAAAGCAATTCTCCATACAACATTTGGAGATCAGCGTGAGATAAATCACATTAAAACAGTCCAAAATGATTATGAAATTAACTAGCAACATTAAGGAAAAAAAGGTAAAAGCCAAGGCAAAGGTAAAATACTGTGTAGCTCGTGGGAATGAATGAACTCATCCCATAAAGCATTGCTAATTATCGATTCAGTCTGTATTTCTTCTTTTAAAAGCATTTTCTTATCAGAAACATAATTGCTTATCTCTACAACAGCTTATATTACATAACATAAGTAACTAATGCTACCTTGCCAGCCTTCATTAACTTACAAAAACTCATCACATGATTTGCAGGATGCATAGGGTGATGGGTAGTATAGTACACATGGAATTGTACAGTTCTAAAATCTCTCTTTTTGTAGTTGGATAAATCTATGGGACGTCTCCGTCAGCTGAAGAGGCAGTTAGAGGAGGTGGAGGAAGAGAACTCTCGCTCCAACGCTCAACGCAGGAAGCTACAGCGAGAGCTGGAGGAAATGAGCGACAGCATGCAGAGCATGAACCGCGAGCTCAACACTCTCCGTTCCCAACTCAGGTAAAGATTAGGATGGTTATTATGACAGTGCTATTTTAAGTATAAAATTCAAAGAGAGCAACACCGTGTGCTAACCAGACAGCAAAAAAGCAACAAGCAGCCCAGACCATGACAAGTCATTTTGCTAGTCACTTGGTATCATTTTTTTACAGTATGTAGCAAATATCTCCTCTAATTGGCTGTGACTGTCATGTCTGGCAGCAGTTTGCATTTAGTATGAACAGAAAAAATAGGAAACTTGCCACATGTTGTGCTTATAGGACAGTGAAAGATCCAGTCATTCTGTTCATACATAAATATATGTGCATGTCATCAAACCATTTCTTCACTGTATGTGCATGTTTCATTCACTCATTGACTCATCTAATGTGTCTGATTGTGTGTCCATCCATATTTGTCTGTTTGTCTCCTACACCCACTCAGCGTCACAGAACGGCAGAAGTCAGAACAGTAGGTTTTCATGTGTGACCATTGTGTGCTTTATGTTCCTCTCTGAGCAATTATCCTTTCTCCTCTTGATTCTAGTGGTGTGTAGAGGTGCCCTGTTGAGACTGTATAGGGGTGTAGAGGTGTCCTTTTTCAGTCCTTTGTAACTGATTTATTCAGAAGCATATAAAGATGGTGTAGTCTACATTGAAGTGTGGGTCACTTCCTGTTTATAGATGGTGATGAATCACAGATTCTCTCTTCCACCAATCATAGACTTAGTTTCACTCTTTCAGCGTCCTCTTTTTTCCTTTCTTTCTTCCAGTTTGTAATCAGTGAACCCAAAAAGTATTTGGACACTTAATTGGGCAACAAAATATCAAAACAAGTTGTTTTGTTTTGTTTATAGGACAAAATGTTTTAAAGCAAAACATATGACAAAAAAAGTTATTACACTATTTTGGCTTTTTTTTCTTGTGTTTATAGGACAAAATGTGTTAAAGCAAAACATCTGACAAAAACGTTATTACACTGTATTTTTTACACTGCTTGTGTTTTTGGTTTGGTTTGCTTGTTTTGTTTATTAGACAAAACATCTTAAAGGAATAGGCTATTTTGGCTTGTGTTGTTTTTTGTGCGTTTATAGCATTGGTCTCAAACTCAATTCCTGGGGCCAGTTTCAAAAAACAAGTTTACCATATAAGCCAGGTTTATTTCAGTTAGTCTGACTTATTGCCAGTTGATTTGGTTCAAAATAAATCAGACTGCAATAAGCCTGGATTATTTGGTAAACTTGTTTTATGAAACAAAACCCTGGAGGCCCACAGCTCTGCACAGTTTAGCTCCAACCCTAATCAAACACACCTGATCCAGCAAATCAATGTCTTCAGGATCACTAGAAACTTCCAAGCAGGTGTGATTTGGAGCTGTTTGGAGCTAAACTCTGCAGAGCTGTGGCCATCCAGGAATTGAGTTTGAGACCACTGGTTTATAGGATAAAACATGTTAAAACAAACAATTTGACAAAAATGTTATTAAACAGTATTTTGGCTTTTGTTTTGTTTATAGGACAACTGTTTTAAAGCAAAATGTTTTTGACAAAAAAAATGTTATTACACTATTTTTTGTGTGTTTTGTTTTTATAGGATAAAACATTTTAAAGCAAAACATTTGACAAAAAAGTTATTACACTGTAAAAATATTGTCAAATAACTTCTGATCTAAACAGCTATAGCGTGAAAATGTCTAGAAAAGTCCAAACTTGCTTTGATATTTTGTGTCGAATGCATATATAATGTTTTGGGGACACTGTATATGTATATTATATTTTGTGCATGAATTACAGTGAATTCTCTATTTCTGTGTTTGTGTCTCAGGCGAGCTCCGCTCCCTATCTCCATGCGTGCTGGCCGCAGGGCTCTGGTGGATGACCTTTCTCAGGAGAACTCTGATTCGGAGGATCCAGGTGCTTCTCCCACCCCGTCCAGCGGCCCGCCGGGTACCCCCACACCCTCAGACAACACCCTGGGCCCCCCTCCTCCATACAGCCTTACCGACGCTGAATAAGAAGGGGAGAGTGCGATAGATGGACAGTTTTACTGGTTTAACTTACATAGCTTTTGCAATCGTACACATAACAGAACATCCGTGCTGTCACACATAACTTGAAACTAGTTAATGTGATTTATTGATTTTAAATGAACAGATTAGCATGCAAGATGGAGAAAGACTGATGCAGTACTCTTATAGTACTATTTAAACCAAGCAAGCAGTGAGTAAAGACTGCAGTTTTTAAGTTGAGGAGAAAAGAAAACGACATTTCCCAGCATTCCTTGGGAAATACAATTACTGTATATCAATGCAGTATATCAGGCTTGTTGTGGCAAAATTATGACGGCCATCTCAAGCTCTCTCTCAATCAATCAAAAGCCATGTGTTTAGGAGAAATTTGCATGTTGATGGCAATCAAAGGCCATCGGGTATTGCACAGATGATCCACGATCAGGCTAAAATGCATCATCAAGCCATCAAACCATCAAAGCACTGAGAAACTTTCTCTCTCTCACTCCTAAAATAATGTAATGTTTTAAGAAATTGAGAGTTGAACAGGATCAAGGATGTCTCTTTGGTATTTTAGAATATCTCTGTGTTTAAATTTTAAAAGTGATAGCTCTACTTCAGATAAATAGACAACAATGCTTTTTGTTGTACATAATTAGGCAGAGATGATGATTATGGAAGCCCATTTCCACCCCAGTAAAGAAAAAAAAAAGGTAATTGCAATTTTATGTCCCTACCTCAAATTTGATTCTCGTAATTGTGACTTTATATCTCACAATTTGACTATACCTTAAAATTGTGACTGTATATGTCACAAATGCAAGTTTGTTTTTCTCAATTGCGACTTTATAACTCACAATGTGACATTATATCTCAAAATGTGACTTCATATCTCACAGTGTGACTTCATATCTTGCGATTTCAATTTCCTTTTTAAACATTGTCACTTTACGTCTCACAAACAAGTTTGTTTTTTACAATTGCATTTTTATAACTCGCATTGTGATGTTATATCTCAAAATGTGACTATATCTCACGCCGCGACTTTATATCTCGCAGCTGTGAGTTTGTTTCCACTAATTGTGACTTTGTAACTTAAAATTTGACCTAATGTCTTTCTATCGTGCAGTATGATTTTATGGGCCAGATTTACCAAACAGGGCAAATTAGCGTTAGAGAGCAATTCCATAAAAGCGCCAATGGGAGGGGAAAATTTTGCAGGCTATTTACTGACAAGATGCACATTAAAAAACACAGACGCAACATCTAATTTCCATAATGACCTGCGCAATCTACCAAGAGCAGCGCAAATTAATGCCTGCTTTAAGACATGCTTTGTTTGGGCGTTAAATAATGGCGCAAATACCAGTGAATTTTCAAGCGCATGTAAATCGCGTTGCATGATTCTTTTAAAGGGGTCATATGATGCTGCTAAAAAGAACATTATTCCTTCCATAAATTTACCGATTGAAAGAGAAACTCCTACAAATGCATATTAAATAAGGCGAGTCGCAAAAATAACTGTGCCCACGCCTTTTCAGCGCTAATTTCCCACTGCGTGTCTTTAGTAAATCCTGACAGTAGTTTTTTTAACTCCAAGTGAGGGTTTGTGCTGGCGCAAGCTGATAGTAAATCTGGCCCTATATCTCATAATTGTGACTTTATATCTCACAGCACATTTTAAACTTTGTCACAGTTATCTTTTTGATTTTTTACTCTGAGGTAAAAAGGGGCTTCCATAGATGGCAATTTACATGCACAAAGCTATGATTGTATAAAACAAAGACAGGCAAGTGAGAAAGAGAAAAATGCTTTTCTATTAAATTAATATGCTACAAATTTGAGCTGTCCATTATAGCTTTTACATCTTAGCCATAACCTGACCATAAGAAAAAAATGAGGATACAGAAAATAAAAAAAAATGCATAAAAGGTCAAACAGATACTGGACTTTTAGCAGAAAACAAAAGAAAAGCAGCCAAAGCTGACAGATT